AATATTATTATAGTACTTCATAATTATTATCATAGTACTGTTTCTCCCTTGGGAGCTCTGGTGGCATAGTGCCTAAGGCACTTGACTGTTACCCAGAAGTCTGGCAGTTCAAACCCACCAGCCACTCCTCAGAAGGAAGATTGGGCAATCTACTTCCATAGTGATACTGCCTCAGAAACCCAAGGAGGAGATGCTATGAGTCAGATCTGACTTGACAGTGAGTTTTATTTCTCCCTTCAATTCTATCAGTGTTTGCATTATATAATTTAGGTGCCCCAATGTTGAGTGCAAACATATTTATGATTGTTAAATCTTCTTGATTGAGCTTTTTATCATTATATATTATCGATCTTTCTCTCTTCTGACAGATTTTGTCTTCAAGTCTACTTTGTCTGATACTAAGATTGCCACCTCAACTCTCTTTTTGCTATTAGAAAACTATGGAATATTTTTCTCTATCTGTTTTGGTTATCTAGTGCCTCTCTGACAGGAATATACCACAAATGGGATGGCTTTAACAACAGGGTGTTTACTCTCTTACAGTTTTGGAGGCTACAAGTCCAAGTTCAAAGTGCCAGGCTCTAGGGGCTGGGTGAAAGCCCCTCAACCTTGGGCTTCAGCTCTGTCTCTTGCTCCCAGCCCACTGAAGCTGGGGGATTTCTTCACTCAGGCAGCTGCTGGCTGCTGAGGCTGAGGCTGACAAACCCAAGATTGGCAACTAAAAAGGCACAGTCCTGATGTTACCAAACCACACAGCAGGCCATTGATTCAGGTCCATTAAGAGTCCCAAGATCAGCAGACAACATGGCAGGCTACTGAACGACGACTTGGCTACATGCAGGATTCAAGCGTGCCAAACAGCTAGAGACCATTCCCAAAGCTTCTGCTTATATACAGAAGCAAACCACATCCCTAAAGCAGTTATTCAGCAGTTATCGGCAGATTCCACCATGGAGGTGATTGCCAATCTCATCATGGGGAGTAACTATGACCAGTTGCCCAACCACTCAAAACCAGGCCCAGCCAAGTTGACATATAATCATAACTTCCACACCATCCTTTCACTTTCAACCTATTTGTCTCCTTGGGATTAAGGTGTATCTCTTGTAAAAAGCATATAGTTGGATCATATTTTTAAATCCATGCTGCCATTCTCTGCCTTTTTATTGGTGCATTTAGTCCATTTATGTTTGAGGCAACAAAAACACAACACACTGCTGTGGAGTCAGATCTGACTCATAGCGACCCATCTTGGTTTTCTAAGGTGGTGTAACTATGGAAGTAGATTGCCCAACCTTCCTTCTGGGGAGTGGCTGGGGGATTTGAACCACCAGCTTTCTGGTTAGCAGTAAAATGCCTTAGGCTCTACGCCACCAGAGCTCCCTACTTTTGAGGTAGGTATTTTAATCTCCATTTTACAGCAGAGAAAACAGGCAAAACTGAGTAATTTGCCCAAGGTAACATGGCAAATAAAAGTGCGTCTCTCGAATCTCCAGATTCACAGGTGTGCACTCTCTCTGCTTTGCTGTCCAATATTTGAGCCAGACTCAGAACTTCTTGGAGGCCAAAAGGTGAGAAGAAAGCAAACAGTCTAGAAGGCCTGGGGTGGTGAGAAACCTTTTTTAGCTGTGCCAAGGCTTGCCTGGAGCGCCTCTGGGGGAGAAGAACTTCACCAAGAGGGATCCAAGATCACTGTGCATGGGCCTGCCCTCTCGGTTCCTGCCACAAGACCACTCCTCTACCTATGCCTCTGTCCCTCCCCCCACTGATCTGAGTGGCAAGGGGTGAGGGGGAGTTGGGCTTTTTTTTGGGAAGGACTCTTTCTTTATATCCCACCCCGGTCAGCTCAGCCCTACTTGGACTTACTGTACACACATCTGTAATTCCCACATATCTAAACTATACTCCATCTCTAAGGGGAACCGCAATCTCCCAGTCACCAAGGTTGGAAATTTCCAAGCTATCTATCACTCCTTCCTCTTCATTTCTGAAACGTTGTCACCAAATGCATTGTACTTCAAATAACTCTTATGTACATCCATCCCCTCGTCAACCCCAGCTGCTGCTGACCTAGTTCTGTCTTCATCCCATCCCACGTGGACTTTCCTGCCACTAATGTCCCCTCCAGGAGCTCTGGTAGCATGGTGCCTAAGGCACTTGACTGCTAACCAGGAGGCTGGTGGTTCAAACCCACCAGCCATTCCTAGAAAGGAAGATTGAGCAATCCACTTCCGTAGTGATATGGCCTGGGAAACCCAAGGAGGGGTCGCTCTGGGTCGGTCCGACTCGATGCTACATAACAACAACAATGTCCCCTTCCATCAAGGACTGGATAAAAGGAGACTGGGGTAATAGGGGTGTTCCACAGTGACCTCTCTTCCTCTTCCCAGGTCAAGATCAGGTATGAACAGCACTGTCGGGGACCTAGGTATTGGCAGCTGCACCCCATGGGATGACCCTGCTCGCTTCATCGTTGTGCCTGCAGCCTACTCCCTGGCGCTGGCCCTAGGGCTACCTGCTAACGTGGCCGCCCTGGCAGTGTTCGTCCGCATTGACGGGCACCTGGGCGAGGCCCTGCGACTCTACCTGCTCAACCTGGCCTTGGCTGACGTGCTCTTCACGCTCACGCTGCCGCTGTGGCTCACCTACTACCTGGGCCCGGCCCACTGGCCCTTCCCGGAGGCTGCCTGCCGCGCGGCTGGGGCTGCCTACTATGTGTCCACCTACGCAGCTGTGGCCTTCGTGGCACTTATCAGCGTGTGCCGTTGCGAGTCGGTGCGAGGGCCCGGATCCGGTCCAGTTGCGCGCCCTATGCTGCGCCGCCGGGGCCCCGCCCGGGCTGCCTGCGCGGCCGCCTGGCTGGCAGGCATGGCCTGCGCTCTGCCCTCGCTGGCCACGCCCCACGCGCTGCGCCCGGGCCCGGGAGGTTCCGCTCGCTGCCTCGAGTACGGCTGGGCACGCTCCGGCCTGGCCTACGCCACCGTGGCCTTCTTCGCGGCTGCTTTCCTGCTGGTGCTCGCGGCTTACGTGAGCCTGGCGCGGGCTCTCGCGGCGCCCTCGGGCCCAGGCCCGACTCCCGCAGGCCCGCACCGACGCGCCGCCAGGACCATGGTCTTGGGACTATTACTCGTCTTCGTCGTTTGCCTCGCGCCCTACCACCTGCTCCTGGCGCCCTGGGTAGCCAGGCAGGAGGGCGGCGCAGGTGGCGGGTGTCACGCCGCCTCCACGCTTGACGTTCTGCACACCCTCAGCCTGGCGCTGCTGAGCCTCAACAGCTGCCTGGATCCACTCATTTACTGCTTCTCAGTACGCCGCTTCCGCCAAGACTGCTGGGCCCTGAGCCGCCGCGCCGGCTGGAGGGGTCCCAGCGCACACCAGACTTCTTTTATCCGTTCTTAGATAGGACCCTGGCCTCCTTGCTTGCAACAGCCTGCTGCAGGCATTGGGAGAAACCTCTTTGGAAGGACCTGGGTTCTAATCCAAATGCAACTACTTACTAGTACAGCTGTGGAACACTGTGCTTTTCTGTAAAAAGAGAATAAACACATTCTTTATAATCTGAATGTTCCCTGGCCTTGCCAACTTTTGGATAAAATAACATACCATTATTTTTAAACCTCTTGGGATAAAAAACAAACTTTGGTTACCAAAGCCCTTAACATTGGCCCACAAGGGCCTGCCGGGTCTGGCTTCTCCTGCCTGGCTTCCAGCCTCATCCTCCTCCAGCTCAGTATGCACTTCTCAGTCCCTGGAACATACCGGTTTACTATCCTCCAAGTCCTTTGCACCTTTTACAAGGAATGAGCTCCCTCTCTCTCATTTACTAAATTAATTTCTCTTCGCCCTCACTTTCTCAAAAGTAACTTCATAGCAAAGCCTTTCTCGGCTGTCCCAGCACTCAGATCCGATTTCTCTTTTCTGGCTCATTTCACAATTGTAATCAAATAATTAACTGAGCAATTAATTACTTTTTCCCTCTCTCTTGCCAAAATGTATTAATGTTGATTCATATGAAATTGCCATTTTTGTGGGTCCAAAAAGATTGAGCATTGGCAATTTTATTTTCATCTGCTTCAACTTAGTAAATTCTATGGTTACTTTGTTTACCACTGTAGGCCCTATCTTGGCAGTGTGCCGTGTTCATAGTATGACCTCAATAGATTAGATGAATGAATGAGACCTGAATATCATTAGTTTAAAATTCTCAAATACTCAGATATTCCAGGCTTTGATAGATTTTCCTCAAGTATTTCTGAGATTCTCCAAGTGTATTTTACACTGATTCATTCCTGACCCAGACCTGATGATTGCTTTTTTCTGCAGTTGCTGGAGACCTGTGACTCTGCCATCACGTCCACTGTGCTAAGACTCCTGTGCCAAGACTTGGTGGTAACCAAGCTGGAGAACCATCCTTCTATATTAGCTGAGAGGGAAAACTCAGACTCGTTGCTTCAGCTTCAGCTGAGCTGGCACTCTGTCACAGGGTGCAAATCCATGCCAGTGGCTCTGGCTTTCCCTCCTCAAGTGCCTTGACAATTCAGCGTTCTTTTACAAGTGGGGAAAGGAACATCTTCTTCCCCTCAGTCAGTTATTGGGGCCCCACGGCAATATTTCTTAGATCTCAAAGAATTGGAATTCAATAAGTGAGAGAAACAGGTTCATGTTGCAAATTGGTGGGGTCAGGAAAAGTCATCAATCGGCCATCATTCTTACCTGTTTTCAGGTCCTATTGCTGAGTTTGCCTTCTAATAGTAGAACTGTTAAATTGCTTCTTTCCCTTTTGATAATGTATCTTTCATTGGTCCTTTATTCCGTGTTATTGTTATTATTATTATTTCATTTTAAAAGTAATACATGGTCATGAAAATAACTTCAAGCAGTGGAGAAGAACGTAAAACAGAAGTAAAGATTCCTCAGTGGTAGCCACTGTTCACAATTTCTTTTGTATGTATTTTTACAGATATTTCCTATTCTAGTACTATCTATCTATCTATCTATCCCATAAATGGGATAGTTACAAGGCTCTTCTGCAATTTGCTTTTCTCATTTAATACATCTTGTATATCTTTCCATATAGGCATATAAGATCCACCTCATTCTTTGTAATAGATTCAAAGTATTTATTTTATCATTCAGTCTCCTATTGATGAGCATTTATGTTGTTTCCATAGTTTTACTGTTGCAAACAATGGTGCAATGAACGTCCTTGTCCACAAACCTTTGCATACTTGTAAATCTGTACAATAAACTCCTGGCAATGAAGCTGCTGTGTCAATGAGTATGTGTGCACACTTAAAATTTTAAATTACATCAACAGATTGCCCCCAAAATTGTTACACCAGTTACACATGCATCAACAGCATGTTGTTGCTGTTGTGTCCCATTGACATGATTCACACTCATAGTGATCCTATAGGACAGAGTAGAATTACCCCTTAGGGCTTTCTAGGCTGAAATCTTTGTAGGAGCAAATCACCACATCTTTCTCTCCCAGAACAGCTTGTGGGTTTGAACTGCTGACTTTTCAGTTAGCAGCAGAGTGCTTAACCACTGTGCCACCAGGGCTCCTTCAGTAGTATGCAATGGTCCCTACTTTTCACGCCCTCACTATCACTGGGAGCTCTGGTGGCATAGTGCCTAAGGCATTTGACTGCTAACCAGAAGGCTGGCAGTTCAAACCCACTGTTCTGGTTACTACTGAGTGCTGCTCTGACAAGAATATACTGCAAATGGGATGCTTGAACAAACAGGAGTTTATTCTCTTAAAGTTTGGAGGCTTTAAGTCGGAGTTCAAAGTGCCAGGCTCTAGGGGTTGGGTGAAAGTCCCTCAACCTTGGGCTTCAGCTCTGCCTCCTGCTCCCACCCTAATGGAGCTAGAGGTTTTTATTTAATCAGGTGCTGGCTGCTGAAACTGACAAGCCCAAGGTTGACAAGTCAAAAGGCACAGTCCCAATGTTACCAAACCACATGGCAGGCTGTTAATTCAAGTCCATTGTAAGTCCCAAGGTTGGCAGAGCATGGCAGTCTGCTGAACAATAACACAGCTACATGCAGGGTTCAAGTGTGCCATAAGCTAGAGACCATTCCCCAAAGCTTCTCCTTATATATACAGAAAGCAGACCACTTCCCTAAGGCAGCTACTCAGCTGCTCACAGTAGATTCCACCAAGGAGTTGATTACCAGTCTCATGGAGAATATTACATTCAGCTGCCCAGTCACTCAATAAGGCCCAGCCAAGTGGACACACAAACTTAAATACCATACCCACCAACCACTCTTCAGTAGAAAGACTGGGCAATCTACTTCTGTAGAGATACCACCTTGGAAACCCAAGGAGGTATCGCTATGAGTCAGAATCGACTGGACGGCAGTGAGGTTTTTTTTTTTTTTTTTGGTTTTTTCACCATCACTGGATTTTATCACCTGTTGCTTCTTGACTCTAGACTTTTGTTGGTCCCCAATTCCTCTAGATGTGTCTGAATATTTCTGTACTGCACTTGTGACCATAATTAATATTATTTTCTTTTTCCTTGAATGCTTCTCAGTCTCCTTGGTATCCATTTGAAACTTGGTGGAGAAAAGAGTAGGAAGAGAAAGAGCATCACCTAAGGCCTCACACCAGCCAAATCTTAGTCTTTTCTTATATTTTGAGGAGTGGGATTAAACAAGACCCCAACTGAGAGCTCAAATGCATGTCAGTAGGTCCACTGTCATTATTAGTTCCCGTCCTTCCTTAGCAATCAGGTTGGCTCATCCCATCCAGCGCTGACCAGCATCTCAGTCCAAGGCCAGGAGGCAGCCTAGGCTCACAGCGTGAATTCATTTGCACTGGTGGAATGATTTGCCCAGCATTTGGAACCATGCAAGGACAAGCTTCTGAGGAAAGATCTGGTCTTTACCATATAGCCAGCTGAACCTTTTGAGGCTGCATTTGATTCTGTTCAAATAAACACAATGCCCTGTGGCCTCATCCATCCCTGTGGCCTTGTACCATCTTGCTTTTGATGTGACTTCCCTTAGTAGTCAGTGTCCTTTGGGAAATGTCTGCCTTAGTCTATATCTGACCTTGGGGGGAGAAAAGAGCTTGAGAGTCAGTTGCCTCTCGGAGGTCAGACATGAGGAAGAGAAAGCCTCGGTCTAGAGTAACAGTGGGTGGGGAGCCCCCTTCTCCCACCATGTCAACTCAGGAAAGAAAGAACCTGAGGTGAGGCCCCAGATACAAAGAGCCTGAGGGATGAGAGAAAACAGACTGTTTAGGACTGTCAATCTTTTTAGACTTTCCTTTTGAACTATTCCAATACTCATACTTATTGAGAACCTTCAAGATTTGACCCTATATACACCCTCAATCCAGGATAGAGAAGAAGGAAGCTTGCTCAGTTCTTCAGTAGGTGCTAGATACCACTTTTCTCCAGGATTCATGGAAAACCATCTGCCTGACATTTTCAGCAGCTTCTTAGTATAGCCCAGACTCCCCCTCTCTATTTCAGTGTTAAAAAAAAAAAAAAAAAAAAACCCACTGTCCAGTCAACTCTATGACTCATGTCTACCCAATGTGTGTCAGAGGAGAACTATGTTCTATAAGGCTTTCAATGGCTGATTTTTCAGAAGTAGAATGCCAGGGTTTTCTTCTCAGGTGCCTCTGGGTGGACTCAAACTGCCAACTTTTTGTTGGCAGCCAAGCACATTTATAGTTTGCACCACCCAGAGACTCCTTTGCAAGGAAAGGGATGCCCAATCCCTCCCCTACCTACCCAGTCCATATCCTGTGACTATGAGGTTCAGATGTGGCTTAGGGAAGCTACTCCTGACACAGAGAGAACAAAGTTCCCCTTCTCTGCTAGGCCCCACTCTCTCTCTCTCAACTCAGTCACAGACCAGATTTCTAAACCCAGCCCACCCTGTTCCTGACCATAACTAGGGCTGACTCAGGTCCTTGGCTTTGCACACAATTGCCCCTCTCTGACCCTGCCTCTTCCTGCCTGGGTCCTCACCTGCACCCTAGGCCTTGCCTGCACCTCTGGCCTCTGTAGAAAAGTTTGTCAGACTACAGCTTCATTTTTCTCTGTCTTCAAGTCTCAAGACACTCCTTCTGCAGGTGATTTTTGCCTGTGGTATCTATCTCTCTCTCATCTGGCCCCAAAATGAGGATAGCCTTTTCCTCTGTGGGTCATGCCCCCCATGGCTGCAACAGTTCTTTTCTGACCCTGAAACCACCTCCTCTGACTGCATTTTGGCTCTAGGAGCTGTAACCTCCTTTCCAGATCACTTGTAGGGCATTCCCAGGCATGCCCTTTCCTTCCATTGATGTGACATATACCTACCTCTTACCCCCAACGTGAAGCTATCATCATTAAATCAGGCTTTCTCACTCCTAGTTCTCAGTCAGCACCAGCCTA